CCACCAAACAAACCGAGCCAAACCAAATCTACATCTTCTTCGTCAGCAGTTCCTGGGCGAAGTTTTGATCTAATTGACGCAACTATGGGATCTAAAAAATCGGCTGCCGCTCCCCCTACCACATCTACTAATGACATGCTAGACCTCTTCTCTTCCCCGCCACCAACGACCTCGCCCCCAGTCTCATCACCACCAAACACAAATGACTTTAATTCAGCTTTCAATTTATCAGCTCCCAAACCACACGCTACAAAACAAACCCCACCCACCAATACTGCCACTACAACGAGCATGTTTTCAAGCGTGAACATAGACCCATGGGGAGGTAACGCCTGGACATCTACAGATCCATCCCCGCCGGTAACGCAGTCGGCATCAATTATGAAGGTCCCCGATACGCTGACCGCCAATGACATAGGGCGTGGTTGGGGTGCCCCTTCTGATGTTGGCGGAACTTCTGCTCCCAAACCCGCTCCTACCATCACTGGTGATGAAGACTTCGGAGGATGGACCAGCGCGATGCCAAGCGAGACCACCACTTCTGCGCCAAAATCCAAATCAGCTGGTGGGTTTGCGGGGAACGACGATTTGTTCTCTAATGTATGGGAATGAGCAACGAAGATAATGGCTACTTGATGGACATAACGAGAGCGAACTTCACTATAGAATGGCATGAACCGTAACACTAGGGAATAGCTCTACAACGTACATAATTTGGCGATTCTTCTGTGTCGTTAGATAACCTAAAGGAAAAATGCCATTAATTTGACGCATGTCATCCCAAAATGCCTCTGTATCAATTTTGTACTTCGTAGTGCAGAACAGCCTCCCAAACCCACTCCGCCCCGCTTTTCCGCTCCGCATTCCCGCTCCACCTCGAGCGGAAACGTATACTCCGCGCAACGTTCGCTTCAACAATTTCCTCCTTCGAATTCAATCTTATACTAATCCAATTCGGGGATAGAGTAATAATATCATTTGATTGACCGCAAACGCTCAATTCCTGCAGAAACTGTCCTAGACTTGGGTTTAATTTCAACCTCAATCAGGATACCAAATTATCGAAGGGTATATATGCGCCATTGCAAAGCCCAGCAGGTGCAAAAAGATAGACTCCAGCACCAAACGCCAAAACTCAGCCACAAAGCAATAAATATACAGCAGTACATTAATGTTTAAAATATCCAACCCAAAACGACCCACGCGCCGACACCAGCACCGACCACCATTCCAGCGACTTTTAGAACGGCCACTTTATCACCTTGCTTTGCGGCATGGGTCAAGCGGCCCGCGCTGCTTTTGATGCTCGTGGATAGTGACGAGAATACTTCGCTCTGCAGACCCCCCACGGATTAGCAAAATGGCCGTAAGATAAAAGCATGTCAAGAGAGAAGGGGGCGAAAGCGCCGGGGAAGAACGAACGGTGTTATCGATGGTCTCCTGGTTCCGGGCGTTGTCGTAGATGTCTATCGTGACGGACTTTAGTGCGTTGGTCTTTTGCGAGAGGGATTCAAGGAAGGCATTGTTTTGCCTGGTGCAAGCGGTCGAGTTAGGCGTTAGCTTTTCGTTCGACTGTGCGGAAAATAGCAGGGAAAAGTGGACAAGAGTCGGCATACCGCTCACGCTCATAGGCGTCACTCATGGTTGTGATATCAAGTCTACAAGCGCTGGAATCGCCTTAGTGGGTTAGAACCGAGATATTATAGCGTGAGGAAGTGCGACTGTCTATGCAATATCGTATAAATGCTCCAGGACTGGCAATCGAGAGGCTTGAGCGGGCATAGAACCAATGTCACTGGGTTTATATTCAGTGGCGCGTTCTCCATAGCTTGTTCTCGTCAGCCAAGATGGCAAGGGGCTTGGTTTCCGGCCAGTCACGTGTAAATATCCGACGGGAACTATGCATGCGCATTGCGCAACAACCAACTATCTACAGAGTATATTGACACGTTATTGTTTTTTTACTATTATGTGAAGTGACTATGTTGACATGTTAATTACTATAAGATGTACTTTTCTCTTCATGACTTCCCATCCTCTGACTTAAATGGATTTGAGACATGCGATTGCACCTTTGAGGCCGGGCCTCCCCCCTGCAATCCTTTCAGGCATACTTTGCACGGGCTAATGATTTGTGAATGATTTTCATGCTTCTTGAGGCCGATCTAGGTGTTCCGGGTCATCCGTGAGAAGAAACCCAGGCGAATCCCTACCCACCGTGCTGGTCTCAAAGAGCTCGGTTATGAACCGAGAATGTCCTTCAAACCCCATCAACCTTCCTTGCTGCGTTGGTCGTCCTCTCCTTGCCTTTGTTGCCGCTCATCATGCCGCTCGCGCATCCGATGTCTGTGCCGATGGACGTAAATATCAAAATTAAGCTCTCCGACGAGTAACTTTACGTCGCTATAGAGGCGGATGAGCAAAGCTGCGAGTTGGAACCCGATAAGGATGGATGTCAACGGATACATACCTAACAAGGGTTTTGAGATTCGAATTCACAACCGAACTCAGAACTTCCACGGACACGAATGCTGAAAATGAAGGATCCTCTATATTTCGGATATCCAAGAGGTTTTCATTCATCTTCCTTAGGTTTCTGGCTAGTGGAAACGCATGGGGTGGCGCTAAATACGGTGGTAATGAAAGTCCGTTCGATACCGCGGCGGATAAATGATAAAGAACGGAAGTAATGACCTGGGAATGGAAATCTTGTGAACTCGCCGCGCGCGCAAGGTGTTCAATCCATTTCTCCTCGTTCCGACCACTATCGCTCCATGTACTTGCACTCCATCTCCGACGGGTGCTGATAGATTCTCGGAATGGCAATTCTTCGGGGACCATCCTTTCTAAGTTGCGAGTGACGTGGGCCATTAAAGCCATGCTTGACAGAATAGTTTGGATTTCTAAGCTGATTCGTTCGTAAATTTCTTTAGGAAATCGACCCCCGATGGGTGGCTCATATTTGGTAAACTCGATATGGTTTCGGATTTCAGCTAGCAAGGTTAGTTCTTCAAAGAATAGTTTGTTTCGCGCGTTCTCCAACAACCGTGCTGGAGATTGAGGGTCGTCCAAGTCGCCTTGTTCTTGATTGATCCAAACTTCGATGGAAGTATGCATGCAATTATAAAAGGTTGCAAGGACAAAAAGACCACGACCAAGAGTCTTGCGGACTTGAGAGCCCGCTGTGGTTGGGCTCGGAAATATGACCCATATGAACGATATCGCACAGCCTGCCATGACTGCAACTAATCGATACGGGCCGAAAAGGTATATTGGGAAAACATTCAATCCAGTCGATGCTGAAACTGCAACTCCGAGTTTCCGGACCTTCAGATCCAACATTAGACCAAGGGTGATCGTAAATCAAGCCACAATTCGACATACCTGAAGCTCATAAGCGATCACCAAATTGAAAGTAATCGACGCAATAATGCACGCTGGAATAAATCGCGGGAACTTCACATAGAAGTAGTACTAATTCGTTATCAGTAAATGCAGAACGAAAGGAGCTCAAGAACCATTAGACACTTACTTGAAGACAGTTCGCTATATAGAGAAACACCAGGATCCCCGCAGTGTTTCCGGCAACAATATACCACACTGCGAAAGCCAAACCCGTCGAGAGTATCGTTGCAACGATTCGTCCTATCAGGCCAAACAGTGACTTCCCGCTAACCGGACTCATACCAATCACAATCACAACTACAGCCCAGTTAATCCTATTGCTGTAAAAGAAATGCTGCGTCTGCTTCAGATAAGCCAAAATCGCTACACAAAATGCCGCAACCGCAACGCGCAATCCAAACGCGCTCTCCTTGGAGCTCAGCAAATGTGAGAGCCGACGCAGCCAATTTCCAAACCTCTGCCATCTATTTGCAGGTGGGAGATGCTCGGGGTCGGCGAATCGAGTTTTCAGGGGGTCCTTCCCGTGAATACTTGGCTCGTAGTCTGTCTGTTCGCCAACAACGGGGATTTTAGTAGCGGTGTCGTCTTCCTCCGGCCAGCCGCCAAGAAGCCACTGTTTAAGGTATTCGGATTTTGGGAATATCACTCTTTTGTGCCGCATGGTACCATCTGCTACTTTACTATCGGCGAATTTGACAAGATCAAAAATCGACTGTAGAAGGATATCTTGAAGATGACCTATAAACAAAATGACGAAAAATTCTTTGCGGATTTCGCGAAACTCGGGCGAGCGATTGTGCTCATCGTGACTAGCCGGCGAAAACGCATTGAGGTTGGCCCAGTGTTGCGGCAAATTCTTGCGCTGAGAGTAGAAATGGTAGAGCTTCCTTTCAAAATTTGCTGTGAAGCCTTTCTGCCCTGGGCCCGTTTCAACCCCCTCTTCTTCGTCTCTTGAAACAAACGAAAATCTTCTTCCCCGTATGACCGTAGAAAAGTCTTTAGATTTTGAAAGCTGTAAAGTAGTGAAGGTATGTTGTAGGCCAGAGTTAACAAGCGCTTTGGCGGCTTCTAGACGATCACATAATGGCTGGACAAAATGTTCTTGAGTGCCCTCTTGGGTTTCATATGGAGAGTCCTCCACTATGGGGCTAAAGGTATCTTGCCTTGTGACTTCAGCGTTAGTAGCATCCATTCCTGCTCGTTGCGGCTGAACTGCCTTTGTAAGTCTCTTGAATACGCGCGGAAGCATAGCAATTCCGCTTAGAGACAAAAAGAGAGATCGTAGTAAAGAAATAAGCTTTTCAAGGTCTTCTGGTGTCAAAGTACCCCAGACAATCTCTTGCTTGGCGTATCGCATCTCAGCATTAACTTGAGAATGTATGGCGCTTAGCTTGCCGATCGCAGTTCTTAAGCCAGGTGATTCAAAGGTATTAGGTGCTTCCTTGGAGACCTTTTCATCATTGGGTCTAGGCCCTGAGAAACTGGAGGTCGCTCGACGTACGACCGTTGCCATTCGGGTAATTTTCCAAGGACCACCGCTCTCGGTTGACTTGATGTAGGTAACTTGTTCATCAAGCAAAGATTTCACTGCGCTTGGGTAGCCTCTCAATTGATGGAATATCATGCTTCGGCTAGTTGTTGGAAAAATAAACAGAGAAACCCCAGTGGCAATCGCAAAGCCGACTAAAAATGCTAAAAGTAGAAGTTTAACATATGTGAGGCCATAAGATAGAGTTGGCATGGTAGGGGCTCTGGTCATAGTAATCGCAACAAAGACAGAAAACGAAGCCATGGGGCTCTGTAACTCGTTGGGGTGCCATGCGCGAAGCGCATTTGCGATCCTGGAGGCACCAGCATCAGTGGGTTTGCGCTAGAAGGTGATAGGAGTAGTAAATGGAGCTGAAAACCCACCAAATATCAAATAAAAACCAGATTGCGGCCACCGCGCTCGCGCTGCTGTTGTATTCACCTAGAGGAGCGCCCGGGGGAGTGGTATGTTCTCTGGCTTTGATGGTACAGTAAACGCCCAAGCAGGACAATGACGCCGAAACACAAGACGCCAGTACGGTGAGTACCATGATTTTCATGAACTTCGCGCGAGGTAATAGGCATTGGGATATCACTGCCATTACGGGCGAGAGAAACCCATAGTTTCGGGTCACGTTTGCGACGGCAGTGGCTTGGAACCTGGCGACCGGGAAATTTTCCGTCAATATTTCGCATCAAGAAAAGAAAAAGCGACCAAGAAAAGGATATACCGACATGCATATCACGATCGTTGGCGGCATTGCTCCTTTCAACATCAGCAGAAGCGTGTGTTTGTCCAAGCCTATCGCCTGCCATATCCTTTGAGGCGTCCAATTCTTTAGTCGCGCTTTAACCATTGTCTCAGCCGTGCCCCTTTGCCGGGGTCCGTCTGCTAGGTGGCATTTATCTGACTGGCGAGTAGTCGAGTTCGAGTTGATGATACTGCGCGAGACCCTGCGGAATGTTGTCCAAGGAACTGCATGACGATAGCTTAAGTGGGTATTTCAGAAGTTTACTCCGTAGCGCGAGATATTACGCCATCAGTGGTGAAGTACCCCGTTTCCAAGCCCCAGAATAACGGAGGAACCGGCGTATTAAACTAGATATCCAAATGAGAATCTGGCCCTGCGTCTTGTCTAGAGTTCCTTGGAGGTCGTCGTTGAGATATCCCAGGCCAAGGTCCACGCTAGACCTAGTTCGGCTTGGCACGCAGCCCAAAGATCGACCGGGATCGTCGACGATGCACGTCAACCGCCAGCCATTGCGATGACAGGGAATCCGGCAACTAGTGCGTCTGGTCTTAGTATTATGGCTTGATATATAATATATACATCTAATCCAAGCTTTTAGACGTCCCAATGGATACGCAAATCCAGCGACAGGTTCGAGAGCATGCAAAACACCAAGCTTAGAGCCAACGACCTGAGAGCAAACCCCAATAGGCTCGACAAAAAACAAAAACTATCATGAAAGGCTTAAAAGGGTAAATATTATGTATATGGAGACGGGAGACTGCAAAAGTGGCCCAATTATCGAAGGACAGCATGAAGATTCGTGAGTAGCCCCCGCTATGCCATACGGAAACAAAAAGGGAAACGGATCCAAAGTATCATGCGCAGTGCTTCGGACGATCTTGTAGTTGCAAATCAACCGATCTACCGAAATGCTCCTGGCTGAGAACGCATAATTGGGGAATAACGGAAGGGCAAGCAAAGCCGTTAGGTAGGGTCATTAATTGCTTCGTGGAGAGCAAGTATATCGCGGGAACAGCGGTTATGTAGTGTGCTATCTTCGGTTCACAATCGAATATCTCAGCATCACCACATATCGTCGTCGTCGTCGTTTTCGTTTGAAGTCGTCCGTTGGTTATGTCTAGGTACCCACTCGTTTCCAGGGTCATGGTTTGTGCTGTGATTATGAGCGCCGTTTCCTTCCATATCATAGTACATACGCTCATCGTCTACGTAAGATACGCTCTCGCCGTATTGATCATGTTCCTGGCCCTGCAATTTATTTGTTAGAATGCTGGAGCGGGAAGCAGGTCAACTAAAAAATCTCTACTTACCTGTTGGTACTCTTGATACTGAGAATATTCATCAGCTTGCTCCTGCTGCTGCTGTTGCTGCTGGTGTAGCTCTTTCTTCCGCTGCTGATTTTGCGCTGGGGACGTAGGCAAACTCATATGTGGATGCATCTGTTGGACTTTCGCAAGATATGAATACATGAAATTGCTGAGAAGGACTTGCGAATACAATGCACGTCGCGGATTCGCTAGTTTTATGTGCGCCATGCGGTATATGGCGCGCTTCTGCAGAAGCGAAAACCGAGTCCAATTGTAGTCAATATCTCGGTTTAAGCTCGATTAAACGAGGTTCTGGAGACAAATTCCGCGAGTGCTTTCTGTGGTTATCTTGGCTACCCTTCTTTTTGCTGCCGAATATGGATGAGAAGAGGCCGGATTCCTTCTCCTTTTTGAATTCATAATTATCTGCCTTTTTGTTTCGCCGGTCGTCGTCACCCGAACGGTCAATTATCACGCTTTCGCGTGGTTTGACGCCATCAATAGAGGTTTGCAAAACGTCAAGGCGGGTGTTATCATGCATTTTATCCCCTGATCTGCTCGACTTTGATTTGTGTTTTTTCCCTTCATCGTCCTTCTTCTTATCTTTGTCCTTATCTTCGGTACTTCGCCGCCAATGCCAACTTGACTTTCGACCGCCTTCCGGGTCCTTCTTCTCCTTTGTCTTCTTTTCTGGCTTCTTGTCTTCTGCTATGGATGTCACCACTCGTAAGCAATCTGTCCTCATGCCTTCGGAAAGTGGGGGTAGATGGCTGGCAATTTTCAATGCTAGGGGAATTTCTTTACCTTGTTTACTAGATGTTTTCCTTGGCCTGGCCGTGGTAGGCTCTGGAGGTAGTGGCATTTGTGGCGGAAGTGAAGGTGGTGCACCATGGGAAGATTTTCGTTCTGGAATAAAATGTTGTTGCGGCTGAATAGGAGAGATTGCGTCGGCAGAGTGTATGTTGTCGTGTTGGATATGTGTTGGAGAATCTTTGAGAATCGAACGTGGAGTCGATGGTGTATGGGGGGTCGATGCGTGTGTAGAAATAGTCCGCAGGCCTAGGTTTGGACGTTCTTGCCGCGATTCACGACCAGCGTCAGAACTGTCTCCAGGCGTGAGGCTCCTGTGGGGAGCAAGTCGCGAGGAGCTTGTTGGGCTGTTGAGCACCGGAGTCGGATCGGTAGAAACCCTGGTGAGCCCAAGAATTGGCGTTTCCTCCAGTGGCGGCGGAGATCTGCGTAAAGCAGCATCCGAATTTGGGTCTGATTGTCTTGGGAATCGTCTTGGAACTCTCTCGCCGGCCCGTAAGCTGCCTTTCCGATATGTTGTGCGTGTGGATCTTCGTAAAGAATGACCAGGGGGAGCGAGAGGTAAGATGGGCTTGTCATCAGCAAAATGATTTGATAATGCGCTAGACGATGCTTCTTCTGCTAGTGCCTGGAGGCTCGATGCAGGCGCCGATCTAATACTATCGGAACGGCTGCTGCTAATACTCGATGAATCCACTTGTCTTGACAGCATCGACTTCTTTCTTCGCAGCTCACCGCCCGCACCTTGTTGCATGCCTAAGCTAGGGTCCAAGAATGATAGTTCTCCTGATCGCCTCTTGATTTGTTCTGCCTTGCTTTCGAGAAAGGTTTTAAATTCCTTTGGGGCTATCCCGGGATGCAAACGGGCTGGAACCCAAAACAATCTGGAGGTATCGTCCTCTCCAGCAGAGGGGGACGGTGCGATTGATGGCATACTGAACCCGGACCCGAAGGATGGCAAATCTGGATCAATCGCACCGACATCCATTGACATCCTCCTGAGTGCAGCCAAGTTATTTAGCTCCTGCGCAACAGCCGCAGGGTTTGACCCATAATCAAGATCGTTGACTTCAAAGGCAGTAGTTGTGGTCTCTGTTGCCGCAGCACGACTCAATCCAGGTGATAATTCTCCATTATTCCGTTGTCCACCGCTCTCTCGGGGGGACCCTTGTTGCCCGTTCGGTCTTTGTTTATCAAACGAACCCGTTCTGATTGGAAGGTGTTGCAACCGGTGCGGAGAGGTGCGGGAATCGGCGTTATTCCTAGCAATTGGGGTGGTAGAGATGGTTTCATCTTGCTGTGTTGCAACGAAACTCAGTCGATTCGAATTCCTCCGATCATAGTCATCTTCATACATTTGGCTGATGGTCTCCGTGACGTGGTGGCTGCCGTCTCTGATCGACAATGGAGGAACATGTCTTTGTCGTGACGTATCTCTTCCGTTTTCTCGGTCGTATGAGGCTATTGACGTCTGTTGTCGTAGAGAGAAGTCCATTAGCAACTGGATCAAGCAATTCTGGTAAATCGGATTTATCTAAGGGATAGAACTAGGCAACTTGACAGCACTCCGTCGCCAGCCATCCCCTTTAATAGGATCTCGGCACAATTAACCAAACCCCGTGGAAGTAATCTTTTGCTCCGGGGCGTTGTTTAGCCTTCTATTCAACATACCTGCATCATTGAGAATATAATAGCACCTTATTGCGCGATTTCCAAGAGAGTCGGCACGCTGAAGGACGGAGAGGAGTCAGTCCTTTCTGGGGATATACCGCCGGAAATGCGTCGTGTGAAAACGGAGTTGCATCGAAGCGTCGAGTAAATCACGAAGACGGTCGGTCACGGAGGAGGGCCGCGCTCACCCATCAGCCAGAAGTGAGAGAAGGGAATCAGGAAAAAGGGTGACGGCCCAGACAAGCAGCGAGAAGGAAAGCGTCAGAAATCGGGTCTGTTGCCGGGTAGCAGGCTTTCTCGAATCGCAAGCGCCAGTGAATGGCAAGGGGGAGGTCTCCCTGGGATTGTGGACCGGGATCCTGAGGGTTTCGATTAGAGAGGGTGGCTGTAAGGAATATTGCGTATTGGAGGTGAAGATGGATCGTTGGCCGATGCGGTTTAGAATGCACGGACGGTCCCTCAGGAGTGAAGGCGGCACATGCGGGCTTGGAATGGGCGGGCAGGGGCGTTTGAACAGATTGTCAACTTCCTGGGAGAGTCATTTACTTGCCCGTTCCCGCGTGAACCGTCAAGGCCGTGTGTCTTCTCTGGATATCAACATGGAGGAGAAACGATGTTTAACCCATGGGTCACTTCTGGGATGGTTCCGTTGAAACGGCGCTTGGCCACTTCTCACTAGGGAGCAGACGAGCTATTTAGCGCTTCTCTGCCCGTTGTGCAATGCGACTCCCCGTACTGTTACAACCAAAGCCACTCCCGTCTGTGCCTCCTGTCTTGAATGGTGAACCCAACAGTTATGCACATCTAATTTCTAGCTTGTCTGGCATCTCCCTCCCGACTCTTCACCAGTGTTTGAGCAGAGAAACACTCGTCCTTCAGAGCCACCCAACCAACCAGTCAAGATTCGGCCCAAACCCTCACCGTAACTTGTTGCTCCACTTCAGGGCTTGATCAACGCAGGACACTGGCTCGCCTCATGATCAGACCTGGATTCAACCGATCACTGGAACGATTTCCCTGGATGGCATCCTTACATGTCTTGGTAAAAGCGATCTGGACCGTGGAAAGCTTTCCCTTCAAATCGACTGGGTTGAAAGTGGTTGACCCTCGGCCAATGAAGCAGGTATTATTTCCTCTGGCTCCAGCACCTGAGATCGAATCCGCAAATCACAAATCGACATCCATCCTACAGCATCGGGAAATGTCAGTGTTGAATATCGTGCTGGGCTGTCGTGTGATTTGATCCCCTGAATGGCTACCATGGACACGCTACAGCTTCTATTAATAACCTGGTTCCCGTTGCGGGCCATACATACAATCTATTTGACAACCGGCATCGTTAGAACACAATGTTGTCTGCAGGACCCTAGCCCCATGACAGCCTGTCGATACTCTTTCAATAGAGTCATCTGCTGGGGCGCACATGGCACCCCTATGTCCGTAGGTACTGTACATACATACTCTATCAATCACTCTCTTTGGCTTTGTCCACCTACTGTGAACACTCCGAATGGGGGAATTGTCTACTTACAAGGAGAAGTTCTGCTCCTATTGCCGATCATTTCATCGCCAAAAATCAATTTGAATAATCACATAAGACAAATTGTTAGAAAACGCCAAACGGTAACTGAGAAGAGATGCAAGACGTGCGGCAAAAACAAATGGACGCCACAATATCCAGATGGAATATGCATCAGATAAATAAAATCGTCTTAGGACGTTTACAAGATTGTCACATCACCGAAATGGTCAAGTACATATGCTCAAAAAATTCATCGATATCATAAAAGCAGTCTTTTTCAACTCCAGCGCTGTGGGCCAGAAATAACAGACACCGCGATCAAAAACGGGGCCACGGCCGCTGCGAATGTCCTGATTCAAATTCGCGAACAGGCCTAGATATATTGATACCTAGTTCATGACATCGACATAGTTGCTAGAAATGAAATCTAGTCAGTAAAAGACATAAAATCAGAGTTCGTGCGAAAAGCAATTCAAAAATGTACCTTGGGAAGACTCCTGTCCTGTCCCCTATCTGCCCAGTCCACCAATCTTCCTTCTTATCCGTTCGCTTCAAAATTGTGATAACATCCCCCTTCTTGAATCCCAGATCCCCTTCCTGATCTGGATCAAATGTAAACAAAGCAACCGCTTGGTTCTTTTGGAGGACTGGTGGAGATGACTTTTGCCCAAATACTGGCTTCGGCGCTGTTGGGCGCGCTGGCTTCTGATCTCGGTATACGTAATCTTCTCCGAAGCCGCCAGAAGTAAAACTGCGGCCGCGACTGCCGATATTTCCAAAACGGTCGTTTTGACTAGTCCGACCCGTGGCAGATCGGTTCAGCCCTCCAGTGAATTGGCGGTCATAAACATCATCTGCCCACGTATTGGATCTCCTTGGTCTGTCGTGATATTCGTATTCATCATTCATAGACGCGGATCGGTGGCGAGGGACACCTTCACCAAGAGCGTCTCCTCTCCTTCCTTCCCAGACAACATCATCGTGGCGTTCATCATATACCGGAATGTCGTTATACATCGAATCGTCATACGCATTCACACCGGAAAATGCTCTGGACTGGAGAACTCTCATCAGAGGTTCAGCACCCGGGGGAGGTGGTACAGCACCCCCCAGTAACTGACTGGCAGTCACTCTGGCGTTGTAGAGTTTTGCATTGGCATCTCTTCGTTCAACCAGCACGCTGCCTTCCAGACTGACGCCGGCGAACAAGCCTTTGGTTTTTGAATAAGAGAACACGCCGGCAACGCCCTTTGTGCTTGCAGCTCCTGCAGCTTCCGCATTTCGGCCAATTGGCCCTGCAGCAATGGAAACGTTGCCTCCGAGCGTAATTGAACCAGCTTGGGAAAACGTTCGCACGGCGGCGTAGTCGTTAAGAATAAAGACAAAATCCGTTAATTCAAATCCAATCTGGCCACCAACTCCCGCTCCTGCGGTCGCAATTGCAGAGGGGGCAGACCAGGTACCATCAGCAAGGCGTGCCACTACGACGCCGGACCCGAATCGACCGGAACCGATAAATCCGGCTTTCAAAACTGTGATAACGGCGAGACCCTACATCATTCAAACTGTTATTTTGCTTCCAATTTAAGTATCTATATGACTGCCTTGAAGGGAGCTTCAATGCACAGTTGTTTCAAACCTTTGCGTTGGCTAAGATTTGTGGCGGAATAATCTTATCGGGACCAAAGGCCTGACGAGGATCGACGAAGGAAGCTAGGATCTTGCCAGCTTTTCTGCATTCGCCTGTTTGCTACAACTTTAGTATCGGCAAGAGAATTGGCTAGATTAAAAGTTACATACTCCTCAGAGAAGCGGGCAGCGGGTTATGGATTCCCAGAGGCATTGCGCACTGTCGCAAGGAGCTGGGACTCCGGGTCGACGGGGAAGGGCGTTCGGGGAAGCGATGCTAATCAGAGAGAACGTCTCCGGGCAATTGAAAGAAATCAAAAGTCATTCATGAAGCCCGCTAAGACCTGCGGCGCGACGGGTGTTGCATGGAATGGTCGGTTGGAGTGACTTGCTCTCCAACTGCGGGAAGTGGAAGATGACGGAAATGTGTGGGGTACGGGACGAGTGGCATCGTGGCTGAGCGCATAGTCAGCCAATAAAGGGCCAGTATGAACGGCGCCTGCTTACGTGATTGCTTTAGTCCGATCTGAGTGCATGTGTGGCTGCAGCCTGGATGTTTTGTTTTTCCGCACTCCGAGCTCTATCGTTGAGCCCGTACTGGGAAGCCTCCACAGAGCTTCGAAAGGACGTTTCTCTTGGGAATGTGGGCGAAACCTCACTAAGAAGCACTATGATGTGAATTCGAATTGTACACACAAGCTTCCCGCAGTCGAATCAAGTGAGAGATGGGCACAGGTGAGTTAGAGGAATTACCTATTATCAACCACCTTCAAGCTTACTCATACGATGGATTGGCAGTTCGGATATGCGTTTGTGGGGATGAAGGGACTGGGAAATCTAGCTTGATCACCTCCCTAGTAAAGGGAGTATTTGTGACAAACAAAATACAGCCGGTGCTTCCTCAAGTTACGATTCCACCGACGATTGGCACGCCCGAAAATGTGACCACTACCACCATCGTCGACACCTCCGCCTTACCCCAAGAACGAAACAACCTCGCCAAGGAACTTCGCAAATCCAATGTGATACTACTGGTATACTCAGACCATTATAGCTATGAAAGAGTTGCGCTATTTTGGCTGCCATACTTCCGGTCCTTGGGTGTCAATGTTCCAGTTGTGTTATGTGCCAATAAGTCAGACTTGACACCGGAGGGAAGTAGTCAACAGACGGTAGAGGACGAAATGCTACCAATAATGACTGAATTCAAAGAGATTGACTCTTGCATACGAAGTAGCGCTAGGGAACATCGGAATGTGAATGAAGCCTTCTTCTTGTGTCAAAAGGCGGTCACCTATCCTATCGCCCCTCTGTTTGATTCAAAAGAATCAGTTTTGAAACCGGCAGCCGTGAATGCCCTGCAACGCATCTTCTACCTATGTGACAAAGACCACAATGGGTACTTGAGCGATAGAGAAATTGACGATTTCCAGGTAAAATGTTTTGGGAAACCGTTGAATGACGATGACCTCGCGCATATAAAAGAGACTATTCAAAGGACGTGCCCTGGCTCGGTCACCCCGTCAGGAATAGATTCTCAAGGATTTTTACATCTTAACAAGTTATACGTGGAAAAAGGTCGACATGAAACTGTCTGGATCATTCTTCGCGCCTTTCAATATACCGACAACCTGTCATTGCAGGAAGATTTTCTTCATCCTCGACTGGAGGTTCCTCCTTTTGCTTCAGCAGAGCTCTCCCCTGCCGGTTATCGCTTTTTCGTTGATTTGTTTTTGCTTTGTGATAAGGACAACGACGGCGGCTTGAATGATGCTGAGCTTGCTTCTCTGTTTGCCCCTACTCCGGGCCTTCCAACCTCTTGGGCCGATGGTTCCTTCCCGTCGTCTACAGTGCGAAACGAGGCTGGGCACGTAACTCTTCAAGGGTGGTTGGCCCAGTGGAGTATGACTACATTCACATCACCCAACCCACGCTTGAGTATCTCACCTATCTCGGCTTCGAGTCCACTGACCGTAGCAACCCTTCGACCACGGCGGCATTGAAAATCACAAAGCCACGCAAACGGCGGCGACGGCCCGGGCGAGTTGGGCGTAATGTTGTGCTCTGTCATGTTTTGGGTGCACCGGGGTCCGGCAAGTCCGCGCTTCTCGATGCGTTCCTCTCCCGTGGGTTTGGCCCTACATCCCACCCAACAATTCAACCTAGCACGGCGGTGAATACAGTGGAACTTCCAGGCGGTCGTCAATGCTACTTGATTCTCGATGAGCTTGGCGAGTTGGAGCCTGCGATATTAGACAATAAGACGAAACTTTTAGACCAATGCGACGTGGTCGCATATACTTATGATTCATCTGACCCCGACTCTTTTGCTTATATCCCAACTCTCCGCGCGAAATATCCACACCTTGAGGAGCTCCCAAGCGTCTTTATTGCTTTGAAAGCTGACCTGGACCGCACGACCCAGCGTGCTGAAAGTCAACCTGATGAGTATACCAGCCGATTAAACATGCCCGGCCCTCCTTTACATGTCAGCGTGACCTGGAACTCGATCCAGGAACTATTTGTACATATTGCAGAAGCAGCCATGGAGCCCAGCACTGCATTCCCAAGGTCAGAAGAAGATGTGGAAGGGAAATGGATGGCTTGGGGCATTGCGCTTGGAGCCATCGTTTGCGCTGGAGCTGCGGCTGTTGTCATATGGCGCCGCGTGTCGGGAAGCGCCAATTGAGATTGCTTGGTCTTATCAAGTGCTGATAAATCTGAACCACACCTTACCAGGCCATCTAGATATCTATACTCCGTACTGTGAAACCTCAATATATATGTAAGGCATCGTTAGTCATCCGATGAAAACGCGCTAATGCCGTCCCCGCATCATGTGGGGTTGGTTGGCCGCATGCACGTGCTCTCGCGACTCCACCCGGCGACTACACGGCGGAAGTGAAGCGCCGCAGCATCAAGTGTTATTCGACGATTTGCCGACTCGTTAAGCGGCGACATCCCTATCTGAGCCCCTCATCGGAGGAGGGTTCTCCAGGCAAACGCTTTGCTGTCCGGATACTAGGCTACCGCGTTGCCAGAGTAGGAATCTCCGGAAGCTTCCACGGACGGCCGCAGATCCAGACCCTCCCTCCGATTCCCATGCTTGGGCCAGCAACTTCGGTGGATTGGATGAGTTCAGCTAAGGATACCTCAAGATGATGTTGTAAGAACACTATTTCCTGATCTTTTCCTCTGGTGCATGGTTCTTAACAATTTGGCTCGGGAGAGTCGCTGAGCGGAACCGGGTTATTGCAACTGAAGTGATGCATGGTGCCAGAAACCAGTTCTTCAAGCTAACATCACATAGTTTTCTACCACCTCCGCCTCCGCGCTATTCCGCTCCTCTTGCCTATGCTGCCGGGGCTTCGAATGGCTACCCGGTCCCTATCCTCGAGACGACCAACGTCGTCAAACACCCAGAAGGCGGGTGTCCCTTACAGATTGGCGAAGGTATCATCACTTATTTATCTTGATAATTTTCTGCTATTCCTCTTTGTCCATATGTGTCTCATTCTGTCACTGACCAAGCGGTGGTGGACTAACCTAGGGACGTACGAGCTCCGGGATGATGTCCACCTTGCAACTCCACCTCCACACCCCTCTGAACCACCGCAAATCAACTATAATCCTCTCGTCACCACTCCTTTACCACTTACATCCGGCGTGAAAGTGTCGCCTGTTATAGTTAAGCCCCCAACCAACCCGCCCGACCTCTACAGAACGACTACGTTGGGAAGTACGGGATCCAACCTCAAGAGCATCAAAGAAAGCGACCACGATGGGCTTCACTCTTCGGAAACGGGAAGTAGTACTTGTGCACCCGATAGCACCGCCACGGCGTTTGGAGGAGGAAACCTTGCACTCTCGATTTCACACACCAAGGATTCAACCGGGTTGAAACGACGAAAACCGAAAAACAGTATTATCAAGAGCACATCATCCTTCATTTCACGGGTGATTACCAATGACTATGCATTGAAGAAGCTAGCAGACAGGAATCAAGAAGGCCTCTACGTTTTTGCGAACATCAACCGCGCTTTCCAATGGTTGGACTTCAGTGCGAAAAACAAGCAAGATCAGCTTGTGAAGATACTCTTCATGAAGGCACACATCCTGTCTCATGATGTCAATGAGGTTACAAAAAGTGCCTCTCATTTGGATGTTATCATGGGGTCTTCCGCTGGGGATATTCTCTGGTACGAACCCATGTCGCAGAAATACGCCCGCCTCAATAAGAACTCGAGTGTCAATAGTTTTCCGGTGACCCATATTAAGTGGATTCCGGGCTCCGAGAACCTCTTCATGGCAGCACATTCTGATGGATGCCTAATGGTTTATGACAAAGAGAGGGAGGACGCACCCTTTGTCCCGGAACAATCGGAAGACTCCGATTCCGTTGACGAAAAGGATGATGAGGTGCCTAAGCCCACGTTCAAGATTCTCAAATCTGTCAACTCGCCAAATCAGAGAGCAAACCCAGTAGCATGTTGGAAGCTTTCAAATCATCGGATTAACAGTTTTGCTTTCTCTCCTGATCGGCGTCATCTTGCGGTGGTTGTGGAAGATGGCACGTTGAGGATAATCAATTACTTGGAAGAGAAGTACGTCAAGTCCTGAATTTTATGTGCTTTTGTCTCGAATCTCCAAAGCTAAACAGTCAACGTGCCATAGGTTGCTAGATGTCTTCACGAGTTATTACGGCGGTATACTCTGTGTCTGTTGGTCCCCGGACGGTGAATACATCGTGACGGGAGGACAAGATGACTTGATATCAATTTGGTCGTTCAAGGAGCGGAAAATAGTCGCACGTTGCCAAGGGCATAATTCATGGGTAACGTGTGTTTCTTTCGATCCATGGCGTTGCGATGAGAGAAACTATCGGTTCGGAAGTGTGGGAGATGATTGTCAACTTCTTTTGTGGGATTTTAGTGTTGCGATGCTTCATCGGCCCAGAGCGGTAATTATGCCAATCCAACCGATCATCGCAATTAGAGTAGCGGACCTGGCTAACCACTTGGAATGCAGCTTCAAGTGAATGCCCGTCATCGAAACAGCGTTGTCTCAAGCAGCTTCAGCGCGGCCAGTCGGTCTCGAACGGAAAGCAATCTGACCGAGCGCCTACGATCCAATTCTACATTGGCTGATAGCCCGTCAGATGAAAAAAGCGAGGAACCACTGTACCACCCTGTTGAGCCGCGGGCGATGACTGCCCAATTACCGCCTATTTTGGTATGTGCAAGATCTTTGCTAAGTTTCTTGGTAGTTATTAACGAAGCATCTATTGCATAGTCGAAAGTTATTGCCGAGGACCCCGTGTGCTGGATAGGCTTTCTGGAAGATTCGATCATGGCATCATCACTTGAAGGTAAGCCGGGGCATATATAGTGTTCCATTGCAATGAAACTGACCATCCTTTTTGATAGGGCATATTTTCACTTGGGATCGCCCGAGCGAAAGTAGCAACAAGGGCCCGCCGCTAGCAAGCCCAACCTCTCGCGTTTCGCTGGAATCGAAGCGGTCAACCATCGCGTCTCGATCAACATGACAAGGGCATGCATCCATACATGATTTTAGACGCAGAAGAGCTAGGCGGATGGAGCTTGTTGATTTTGAATATTTGTTTCACTTGAATAGCCTGCTATTGCGTCATATTGGTTCAATGTAGCGGATGAAGTAGATACAACCTAATGAGCGACAAGAATGTTCAAGTTGTTAATCACTGAATTGATGCAATCTGCTAGTAATGACTAATGATGCAGGCCGGTTGGTTGTATGAATGTTGTTTACTTGCTCCGTCTGACCCTTTATATGAAGTGATGGTGAGCCACTATACCCTGCAGCTGAAACCGGGCAGTTTACAATCGAGCAATGCCGATTTGGGCAGGCCTACAATTGTCGCACTTTCACTTTCTAGACATCAATGATTCGCACAGTGGCTGGCGAAGAGGTCCAAGTTGGCAGCCGTTTGTTGGAGACAGCACTGCAGATCACCGCGGTTCTTTTGAGCTGACAGTGCCTTTATTTTCTTCCCCCGGAGTTATCTTGCCTATTCGACTCGCAAGAAAAAACTGCGCCACTTGCTGCAATGGAGTTGTAATTTGTGATACATGCATAGAGCAGAGAACCCCCTTCAGCCACAAAGTAGCAAGTCGTTCAGCGGCCCCGACCTGCACATCCTGCAGGCCGTAGAGAGGGAGCTAATTTATCTGTAAATAGTGATAGGGTAGGGCCTGGAAGTGATTGCCCAGTGTATAACCGGAAAGACGGCGACATGCAAAAACCCGGCCCTTTTCTGATAATTCTCCGTTTTTGAGCCCCCCAGCAAGAGGTTTCGGCCGGGTTGGATGTGGCCTGGAGAAATACTACGTACATTGTGTGCAAAGTCTTGGGATATGTGTTGTCTGCAGGGACTTGTCGTACCTAGTTAAGTAGTTAGTTAACTGGTAACTTGGCTCTTTTCTTGGATCCTAGAATTTGGCACAATTTCGGGGCCAAAAATAGAAGCATTTCCCTGGATTGATCAAAAAGGCGAGAAGGCGCCCGGGATCCCGGAGTAGTCGTCGTAAAGGCATCGTGAATCAGCCTTTTCTTGAAAAGTGCTATGAATCCAAAGGTATGGATATGTCGCATCTCATCTCAGGCTCCAAAAGTGAAAGCACGGGCGAAGAAGCAAGTCAGCCGGTCTAGCCCATCTCAGATTAGCCATGCGCGTACAACCCGGTGTTACGGGAATATGCAGCGCATTCCGGGCCCTACAGGGCGGTTATCGATGGCATTTGCTTCAAGAGACTCCGTATTTGGTCTGAGCCAAAGCATGACGATGAACTTCTGAAGTTTCTTCATCCCTTTGTTCGCTAGCGCATGTGACTTTGTTCTCGACGGGCCGGTCTTGATAATGAGGGGGAGGGATTTGGTCTTCATCTTAATCTTCCGAGCAGGGCTCCCGGGACGATCAGCAGTCGTATCTCCCGTCTGGTGCTGGAGACAGGCATCGGGCATGGGTAACTGCTATCGGTAAATTGCAGTTCGCACGGCCTTGCGGGGATCTGTACCAACGTCAAGGGCATTATTGAAGGGTGGGCTACCTAGTTAAGCCTGGCGATGATTCAATAATCACCGTCATAATCGGCGCGGCCAGGCATGCTGAACCCAGCAATCCTGAGACCCCCCTGGTGGTCTGTCCCGAAATCATGTTCTCCCTTGACAAAGCGGGCCTGTTGCTTTCAAAGTCGGACGATCAGAACCTGAGGGAAGAGAGGGCCAACAAGTGCATGTGTTCTGGTCTATGGATTGCGCCGAGAGAGATGATAGCATTCACTCATCGTAGTCTTGTCTCTCGTGCTCTCGTATTATCCAGCAAGACCGACGGCGTTCGGCACAAGGAACGCGTTCCGGTTGAAGCCAACACGGGCGAGCGAGTGCTGCTAAGTTTAGCATGTGCTGGGCCTGTCGTCGCTTGCAAGTTCCGGGCGAGTCCACCGGCGATGTCAACCGGCGGGCTAGGCGGCTTGTCGTTTGGCCCTCAGATTCACGGTTAAAGCGGATCCACGGCCCCGTTGTGATGCGAGTGGCTGCGGGCTATCGATCATCGCCAGCGGGTTTTTTTAGTTCTTCAAGGGAAATTTTTTTCTTCTGGCGTGACTAAGAGGCCCAACTGACGTTGCGACGGGGACCAGGGGGGGTTGAGCGGTAAGGGCAGCAGGATCACGGGCGGGCTGCTCCTCTTTGTCGCGCGTTTCGGCAGCAGCCTTTTCTCTACTTGCTTGTGAATTCTTCATCCGTGTTCTCCAGTCTGTATAGTTACGGATTGAATGCCTAGTTAGTTATCCTTCTGTCCAGCTCGTCGTCGCCCGCACCGCTCCTACCAAGCAACTCCGCCATCTCTCCCACCTGCCCTCTGTTGCGGGTTAGCCGTCGACTGGCCGTCTTTGTGCACAGTCTGTCTCTCTTTTTGCCCTTCGATCGCTTCGTCTTCATTCTTTGCTTCTACGCCTGCAACGGTTCTACGCCCTCAATTCTCGCACATCTCTCGTCTGGTGACGTAGCTCGTTCTACAGCTTCTTCGGCCACGTCTAGATGCAACTAGTTCTGTTGACATGGCTCTCAGCTTCTTTAGCCATACGAACCCCGCGAAACATTTCGATATCAGGTGGGCAAACTTCCTACAGACATACCGAGCATTGAGCTACCGCTAACGCCAAGGAGATAGACTCGACGATGACTACATTATCTTCCGCGGAAGTCCAGATGAGGCTGCCAGTGCACATCTCAAGGGCACATTGGTCCTCTGTCTTTCAGAGCCATTGACGATCAAATACTTACGACTTCAGCTCGTGGGCGTTTGTCGTATTGGGTGAGTACATTTCTGTGTCCTTTGCAATGACGCTCTGTTGACGATTCGGGCTTTCCAGGTGGACTGTTGTGAGCGGACCTCTCAGCGGAGCCAGGAAACAAGGAAAGGAGGAGGTGGTGTTCGAGAAGACCTGGAAGTTTCGAGACGCTGGAAAAGGCAAAACAGAGATCTTGTCTCCAGACAACTATGAATTTCCCTTTGACGTGATCCTGCCAGGGTCTCTCCCGGAGAGCGTTGAAGGCCTCCCCGACTCGTGGGTCACATATCGGCTAAAGGCAGAGATTGGGCGAAAATATGCAAAGGACATCAGTACGAGAAAGCCGCTGAGGATCATTCGCGCATTGGATCCAAATACGGTAGAGACGATAAACGTGACGGTGAGTGACTTGGGCAGACTGATGCAGACTGAGGCTGGGTAGACAAACGAAACTGACTATTTCTATCCAGAGCATTGAAAATGTATGGCCAGATAAATTAGAGTATTCTTTCACGGTGCCCAACAAAGCTATTATATTCGGCACTCATATCGCGGTGAACTTTCGGATGGTTCCACTTCTGAAAGGCCTTGCGCTGGGTACCATTTCCACTCAATTGGTCGAGTCTCTCGAGATGACCATGCCTGCAGACGAGTCTGTGCCGCGCAATTCAAAGTCGTCAAGGGTCATTTTTTCCCATTCTTTCGAGGTAGATAACGAAGGCGACTTGCAGATTCTGGACGACGAGGCGGAAGGTTACAAGTTCTCCAAAACTTGGGATCTGCCCAGGACTTTGCGAAAATGCTTGCAAGATGCAGAGACAAAAAGGATCAAGGTCAAACATAAGCTGAAGTTCAAGGTTCACCTTCAGAACCCCGACGGGCATACTTCAGAGGTACTATGTCCCGACCCGTCCCTTAGTTTATGTGCTGATTTATTGACTTAATCAGCTTCGCGCAACCCTCCCGGTCTTCATCATTATTTCTCCCAATTTCCGAATCGACGAGAACAATAATGTTGTTGGCCAAAACCCGCACTCGGCTTCAATCGACCACTACCTTAACCAGCAAGCACCTCCTATGTACGGCGACCATCGATTCGACGCCCTGTATAGTGACCTAGATCCGAATGGCTATTTCACCCCCAACATCTATAGTGGGATGACTTCGCCCTTTGGCTCGCAAAGCAGAAATATGTCTGCTGAAAACCTTGCGGTTCTTCCAGGCTTTCAGGTAGGGGATATCTGCGCCGATACGTTGCATAGCCGATTAGCGGATCTTCGCACCCGTGGTTCCGGAGCCACATCTCCTTCCCCTGAAGTCCTAGAAGGCCCGGGGGACGAACTTCAGCGGCGGTCATTCTATAACGCCGATCAACTTCCCTCGATCATGAGCGAACTTGACCTTGCGGTATCGGACGGTTCGGGGCGCTCGTCGGAGGAAGGTCAATTTCCGTCGGGATCTGCGACGCCTGCTCCACGAGTCTACGAGATCGAAGATCTATGCCGCGTCCCTAGCTATAGTACAGCTCTCCGGTCGAGTGCGAGGACCCATTACGATGGAACCCTCCCCAATTACCAAGCCGCCACTGCGTCTGGCAGGCCTCCTCCGCGTCCTCCCCAGTCAACCCACTCCCGAAGAGCAAGCCGGCTCTTTGGAATCCTCGACACACCCATTCGTCCTCATTTCTCATTACACCATCGCAGTAACAATGACTTGTCTACGGACACCGAGAGGCAAGTCAGAATCATGCAAGCGCGGTCTCGAGAGTAGGCCGCCTCTTGTTTCCCACCAACCTCGTGTTTATATATTTCGTTTAATATCTATTCGTGACTATACCATCGGTTTGCATTTCTATGGCGTTCAGGGCTTAGGTTGGGCGACGGACAAGAAGGCTCGCCCTGTATATTTTTAATCATGGAGCTATTTGGCAGTGGGTCAGGAGTACTGGTGTCGTGCGATATAGGCGTTGATTGTTGGAGGCAAATGGCATGCGGACTGGGCCTGGCGTCAAAATGGGCTTTTCAGTAGCAGGCTCTCTGGGACAGGGCGCGTGAGGTTGTGATGGGCAGTCAGTGATATATGTAACTACAACAATTGTAACTACAGAATAGATTCACCTAGTGCAGAGCCACATGCATCATCGTCAACACTCGCGCCTATCACCAGCCGAGAGCAGCGCGGTTCTGGCGGTTCAAGTGCAGTTGGCAACCAGCCCAAAGCGCCATGATGACCTCATCTGGTGAAGCAGCTTGAATCGGCGATCCACCGGCGCTCTTATTTAACCCGGAAGAACGGCCGCTCGACTCTTCCTTTTTCTCTTCCTTCGAGCCTAGAATTGACTGTCTAGATCATTCTTTGGGTTGACGGGTTACCAGTTGTCCCGACATTCTAGAATCAATCCCTGGAGCATTCGGAAGCAACCCTGCGGGGGAATTCCAGCAGCGAGTTTACTAGCGAACCGTGACCCCTCCGCAAAACTTCACTCTCTTATATTTTAAACTTGCGCATTGCATCTTTTCACTTGCAGAACTGCTCCTCGAGAAGACGACCAAGCCAACGGAATTCACCAGTCAACTCCAATTCAAAAAAGACACACACGCGCAACACGCGGGAGGAAAAAGAATGACCGGTTTCCCTCATCGCTCGGGCACGGTGAAGACCACCACCACGACGGGCGGATCCAGCGACGATGAGACCATCACGGACTCGGATCTGGGCGGTGTAAGTTTGCTGATTCCCCCGTCAAGCTCGTATTTCCCTTTTTTTCTCTGGATCTTCTTCGTTTCATGTCTGTTTGCTTTGCATGGTTGGGGATGACACCGATTGGACAGGATTCGTCCTTTTTTTCTTTTTTGGGCCCAGAGAGGGTGTCTGACAGCTGTCAATAATTCACTGCCCCTTGCGAACGAACTACATACCGGCTCCCGAGTGTACGAGCCATGACCTTATTGATGTGGTTTATCTTCCTTGGATCTTTTTCTTTCTTCCTCTCTTTTTCTGTCTCTCGCGATTCACTTTCCCCGAATTGGATATCCAGGAATATGCCTCTTTGGAACACCCGTATTCTATTCTACGAATCTTTATTTGCGCCGCCCTGAGCGTTCCCCGTTTTATTTCATTTCCCGCCCGATGACTGTTACTTTCCCAAAGCCTTGGAGGATGCCATTGACTAACTATCGCGGCCTGGATGATTTCTGGTGGCGTGTCTTCAAGACTACAAACATCCTCATCGAAAGATTACGCGCATGGAAGCATATGTGCGGATACCTTGAAAACTACGTCAGTGCGACACACAAGGTGCAGAAAGCGCAGGCAAAGGAGTTTGAGAAGATCCTGAAGGTTAGTTGCGCCCTTTGGAGTTGGAGGACATAACCATCACCGTGGTTGGTATTGACGAGCGAATTTTGCCTAGACTGTTTCCGAGCCGTTGAAGGAGGGGCACCATTTTGTCCAGGGACAAGGCGGAGTTACGGGGCTGTTTGATAGTCTGCGACTCAACACTCAGGTATGATCCATGTTAGTTCTGCGAACGGGGAAGGGGACATGTTTGCTAACCTAGCCGCACGCTGTAGGGCATTGCAGATGTGCATCTCGAAACGGAGAAGAATCTCAAAGCCACTGTCCTCCCGATCCTCGAAAAACTGCACAGCGAGATCAAGTCTAAAAGCAAAGAGCTCAAGCATGGAGCTACGAAAGCCGCGAAGCTAGTCGCCAAAGCGCGCACAAATACCCAGAAGCATATTGAACTGCTGGGCCAATACACCGCTGCCTTCGACTCGCCTACAAGAGCGAAGCATGAGGCCTCGCATGACCCATACGTTATTTCACGTGGAGTTTTCCACCGGTTGAACAAGCAAATCAATGAAGAGAATAACAACTTGAAGGAGATTTTGGCAATACAATCCTCTTTCCAGCAGTTCGAAGCGCATATCCTGGAAACCGTGCAGAATGCGCTGAACCGGTTCTTTCAATGCATGGGTGCGCAATCAGATCGGCAGCGTGCCATGTACGCTGATATGGTCGGCGCGGGACAGCAGATCCCCACGGACTTTGAATGGGCAAACTTTTATGAGCGAAACGATGCATCCTTGATCAACCCCAACACTCCCCCGCGCTCCATGTCGAATATCACGTTCCCGAACCAAGACCACCGCGCCACAAAAGCGTTGGTAGAAGGAACCCTCCAGCGCAAATCCCGCACCATGATGAAAGGCTACAGTGACGGATACTACGTCGTCACCCCCGCCGGCTTCCTCCACGGCTTCAAGGACAATGACGACTTCCGCCACGACCCCCAGCCAGATATCTCTCTCTATCTCCCCGACTGCACCATCGGCAACTTCGACGGCCTCAAGTTCTCCATCAAGGGCAAGGACGTTTCGAGCGGCAAGGTTGGAAACGCTTTCCACATGAGCAGCGAATTGCAATTCAAGGCTCATAGCAAGAACCAGATCGACGATTGGTCCAACGCGCTCGCTGGCTTCGTGGGTTCCGGTTCGGGCAGCCAGCCTGCGAGCCCGACGGTGCAGAGGAGCGCAAGCGTAACACAACCCCCCGCCGCTGCTCCTGCTGCTGCTGCCGAATCTCCTGTCATGCCGCCGCTGGCGGATACCAAGGCCGTCGATGCGACGGTGGATCCTGCCGTACCGGCGCAGAAGCAAGAAGAAGGAGTTGTTGGCATTGCCGGGGCGGAGAAATCTGGTTAAAGCCGTTTCAACGACCTTTGAACTTTCTCGTTTCCATTTTTGACTTCTTGGATGGTATACCGACATATATGAATTTTGCTTTTTCTTTTATATACCCTTACATACCCCATATTCCCCAGATGCTCCAGATTAATTAGTATAGCGCGCCTAATCTAGCTACGTACGAAGTAGAGACTATTCTCCTTACTACGTTTATGTCCATGTATCCGAGTCCAATATTCAAACAAGTGGGTGTACACCACAGTGACGAAAAGGGCAGTCATAGCAAACAAACAACTGCTAAGTCGTGAATTCAACATTGCAGCTTGGAGAAAGTGTTGGGAGATAGAGAGGAACCCGCGATTGACGATGAACAGTGGGAGGCTATGTCTAATAGCCAGCCAGGTCCAGCGCATCATTGTGTTCTATCATGATCTTTAGATGTTTTTCTATTACAACTTGTGTTATTATATGATCCTGTGTTATTGCAACTCGACGTCATTCCGATCTAGGCTGCCCCGCACCGACTTTCGGCCTCACGGAGACCCCGCTTTAAAGGAGAATAAAACCCGCCCGAGGGACATGGATTCGTTATTTCAAGGACAATTGAAGTGAGAGTTGTTCAAAAAAGGAATTGCACAGCCAGTACTGTTGACCGCAGCCATGGCGACCGATACGTCCACCTACAAGCTGAATCGTGAGTTTAACGCCTCGAGCGACCTGTGCTTCGACGATCCTTTCTGTGTGGGATTGGGAGCTAAATCCATGCGTCTGCGGCAGATACCATGATTCGCGTCAAGGACCCGAAGAAATCACGTATGTTCCTCCCACCCCCCGCCTTCTCACATCCCGTCTTCAATGCGCGAAAAGAAAGTAAAAAAAAAGCATTGGGCAACTGACACGCAAGCCCCTTCTACCAGTTGAATTCTACGGATTCCTCGGCCTCTCGCAAATCAACAAGCTCGATTTCGAAGAAGCAAAGTTCTCACTGTACTTCCTCGCTTACAACGGGCCTAATTCGCTGTCTGGCGAGCGCCATTGGACGGATAGAAACGGGGTTCTGGAGCTCACCCATAACTATGGGACGGAAAATGACCCGAACTACACCGTTGCGAATGGAAATACCGAACCGCATCGTGGGTTTGGACATATTGCCATCTCGGTGGATAATATCGAATTGGCCTGCAAGAGGTTGGAAGATGCAGGGTTTCCGTTCCAGAAGAAGCTGACGGAGGGGAGGATGAGGCACATTGCATTTGTCAAGGATCCAGATGGGTATTGGGTGGAGCTGATCAGACGGACAGACGAAAGCGTTGCTGCGGGTGTTACAAGCACGGACCCAAAGTCATACCGACTGAACCACACGATGCTCAGAGTGAAGGATGCCGAGGTCAGCTTGAGATTTTACCAGGAGACCATGGGGATGGAGCTGGTGAAAGAGAGTCAAAACGAGTCTGCGAAATTCAATCTCTACTTTCTGGGGTATCCGGGATCCAATCCACCAGTGAAGAAGGACGCGTCGAACCCAGTGGCGGAATGGGAGGGCTTGCTGGAGCTCACCTGGAATTACGGGACGGAGAAACAGGAAGGACGGGTTTACCATGATGGCAATTCCGAGCCGCAAGGATTCGGGCATATTTGTACGTGCCGGAACCCCTTTTCCTTCACGTTGGAAAGCATAAGTGTTAACGTGTCTCGTTCCTTAGGTATCTCCGTTGACGATCTTGACGCGGCATGCGCTCGCTTTGAGTCTTTAAATGTGACCTGGAAGAAACGCCTGACAGATGGACGAATGAAGAACGTTGCGTTTATCCTCGATCCGGACGGATACTGGATCGAGGTCATCCAGAACGAAACTCTAAAGAGCCGAAGCAAGTGGTAGTCTGGGAACAAGTTGGTTGAAGATCAGCGGTAAAAGGTGTCCTCTCATGCAATCTGCTAAGAGTGAACCTCACTGCAGAAGCTGGGTCGGGGTTCATGTTATTGCGAATGTCTCGCTGTAGTAGGAGAATGGCCATCCATACTTTGTCACCATATCAAAAATAATGATAATAATTCAAAGCCGACAGACAGAGAGATCCTCCTCGTCCATTTATTCTCCTCTTTGACTTCCGGGACCGACATGGTTCAGGCAAAACCTTCCTAACCGAGCCAGGCGCATAGCAGGGCTGACTGCAGCAAACCCCGGAGATTGCCTCCTCCAGCTTCGAGATTGAGATGCAAGTCATCCAGCACTAGTGCGGCACGATGCGAGTCTGGGCCTGGCAAGATGAGAAATCCATCAGACAATGTGGCATGGCTGACGTTCAGGCCCTTTTGCTCGGGGATCCTTCACCACTTGGCGAAGCACATGATTCCCCGGAGCGCGAGAAGACACTCGATCCAAACAGCTTTGATCCGCGTACATCTTGAATACCAAAGGTCAGTTAGGGTTGCGGTTCGGAGCGCGTGGAACAAATCTGACCCGCTGCCGAGAACCCACGGGCCGACGCCAAAAGCGCGTGCTCTGATTGGACAGCACTGACTAATCTCGCTGACTAATCCCAGGGCACGCGAGCCTCGCATCAAGAAGTGCGTCCACTAGGAACAGCCTCAGCACAAGAACGAGCATTCGCAGCGAAAAGACAACGGTTGATCTCCAAGGTATGTGTGGATGATGTTGCTTTTTCTGCTCGTGTGTGTGACAGTGCCTGTTTCTGATTCAAAATTTCTTTTTTTGGCCTGTTCCATCCACACGTGTCCCATTGCCACTTTCTGTATGGCTCGTGTTGCTGCTGTTCAGTGATGCCTGTTCCCTCGGATGGAGCGCTTCTTGTTATTTTCTTTTTTGATTAATTTTATGTACGAGCGTGATTGTCGCAAGACGATCGTGGCCTTGACAGCCACCTCCAACCCCCCTTTTCAGAGTCCTTTAAAAACGACCCGGATGTTTCATTCTCTTGCTCTTATGATACCCACATTCTCCCCCTTGTTGCGAGTCGACTTGGAGTCTGAGCCGGCTTGACGTCCATCCATCCTGTCTCGTGGCCAACTACCCAAATCAAGTAGTCAGCTATCCTCCATTATCGTTGCAACTTCGCATGTTATACCCACCTCTACAGAATTTGATGGCTGCTTTTCTTGCGTCCCTTCGCTCCGTCCCGTCTATCTGTCAAGTAAATGGTCAATGGCTGAATCAGCAGTCTGTTCCGGAGCGCCAGTACCCACCACTCGTCCATCGGATCAGCTCGATCTCGCTCTCTGCGCAGCTGCTGCATCTGCAGCCTCGATCGGGCCACAGCCCTGGTTCCTGGATCAGAATCCGCACTTCCTACCAGCCTGGGCAAGGAGTCACGTGAATACGCCCAGAACCTCCTCGAGTGCAGGCAACGAACCC